ACAGACACACTCAAACACAGACACACTCAAACACAGACACGCTCAAACACAGACACGCTCAAACACAAACACACTCAAACACAGACACACTCTTACACTGATACAGACACACTCAAACACAGACACACTCTTACACTGACACACTCAAACCCTGACACACTGATACACAGGCACACTCAAACACTGACACACTGACACATTGACACACCACCAGACTGACATAATCCTGCGTTACTCTGTCTGCAGACACTCTGTCTTGACATCATAGTCAGAAACCTGCAGGTTCTGCCCACAGACCCGGAGAGCATGTTGTTCTGGGGGCTGGAGTTCTGCTGGATCTCCCTGTCCTGGGAGAGTGTTTTGGACCCTCTGTCTGCTGGAACAGCCTCGGTCCTGATACACTCGGTCCAGATGTGGTTCTGCTTTACATCGGCCTGTCATGAACAAAACCTTATGGAGGGATGAGTGATCAGGCTAAGTGGGTGACATTAACTGACTTTAGGTGGGTTTTGACATTACCTAGACAAAGGTAGAAAACACTGGTTGATCGTGAAGAAGTCAGCAGGGAGCTGTGCTGAGTAAATCAGGAGAAATCAGCTCTGTCCAGGCTCGTCAAGGGGCTGAGATTTAAATGACACCTGCGGATTTTTCCTGCCTCCCTCACCATCTCGCTGTGCATGGGGACAAGATGGGATGGCGTCCTCTCCCTGGCAAATTAACCTCTGTTACAGCGGTGTTGGATTTTTTAATTAATGCTCTGAGGTGCAACATTGGTATTTTTAAAGATTTACTTATATTTCTCTACCCATTATTTGCTTTGTGAAGATCAGCAATGGTTTGCCTCATTTCTTTCTTTAGATCTTGGAGCTTCCCCGTGCGGATGGATGAGAACAGGTTTTTCTGTGTGTTTCATCATTTCTATACCGAGGGAAACAGGAACTCACTAACATTCACACGTTAGCACCTTAAGACAAATAATATATTATTTTTTCAGGTGTGCTTGATTGTGTTTGAAGGGATCTTGAAGGGTGCCAATAGTTTTGGCATCTATGTTTTTTTCAGGTAAAACAGCATTACTTGTTTACTGTTGAACCTTGAGTTGAAAAAAGGTTTTAGAAAAAAAGGACAAGTATTCCCCTAACATATGAGTATTAAATATCTGTCATTATCCATGTGGTTAATTTTATGATGACTTTTTTCTTCATATTTATCAAGGGGCTACAATAAGTCCAGAGTCCACTGTATGCTTTGTCAGCACTGCAATTCATCGGTCATGCCAATGAAGCTGTTTGAACTGATATATGAAAAAGGTACAGTATAAACTGGTGTGAGTTGGTTCTCAGTGAAAGAGTTCATAAACATTCTTTTAGAGTGTCCCAGTGTCTAAGCTACCACAATGGTTAGGATTATTGAGAACAAAAGCTAGCGGAATGACTCCACATTTATCTCTGCACAGGACTGACATCAGTTTATCAACACAACCTCTCTGTCACCTGAAACCACACCCCCTCTCAAAACGCACCTCCCACAAGACCCCGCCTCCTTCCAAAACACGCCCCTTTGCTTCCTCCTCCTAACCACACCCCTTGCACTCTGCAGATCCAGGAAGTGAGACTCACAGATCAGTTTCGCTTTTCTTAAAACAGCTTCACTACTGCTGCTCCTCTCTGTGCAGTTTTTACTCGTCAGGAAAATGGCAGAAGGCGGTATCTCAGTTTCCCAGGACCAGCTCAGCTGCTCAGTGTGTCTGGATCTGCTGAAGGATCCAGTAACTCTTCCCTGTGGACACAGTTACTGTATGGGCTGTATTAGAAACTGCTGGGATCAGGGTGATCAGACTGGAATCTACAGCTGCCCCCAGTGCAGACAGACCTTCACCCCAAGGCCTGTTCTGGGCAGAAACACCCTGCTGGCTGAAGTGGTGGAGAAACTGAAGGAGACAGGGCTCAGTGGTCCTCCTGCTCCCAGTCCTGCTGGCCCTGGAGATGTGCTGTGTGACGTCTGCACTGGGAGACAGGTGAGAGCTGTGAAGTCCTGTCTGGTGTGTCTGGCCTCTTACTGTCAGACTCACCTCCAGCCTCACTATAATATAACTCCACTGAAGAGACACAGGCTGGTCAATGCTACTGGACGGCTGGAGGAGAAGATCTGTCCAGATCATCAGAAACTGCGGGAGGTTTTCTGCAGGACGGACCAGACCTGCATCTGTCTGCTGTGCTCAGACTACCAGCATAGAGACCATGACACAATATCAGCTGAGAGTGCATGGGCAGAGAAAACAGTAAGTGCTTGAAACCTCATGGCCAGCAGCTCCAGTATAATTATATAAATATACTGTAGTTAATCCTAAATCAGTCTCAACATTTTCACTACTGTTTTTTGGCTTTAATACGTAGAATAATAAAAAAACTAAGAAACCCTCCTAAATGACTGGTCATTTTAGATATGTTGATTATTTAGGCTTATTTTTATCAGACCTCATGTTATAGTTTGTGTATTCTCTTGTATCGTGTGTGTTATTGCAGCACAAGTCAGAACAAGGTAAGGATAACAGCCCCTCTCACTGTCTACTAACACAGTCTCCCACCTGGTGCAACTAAAACATCACTAATCACGTCTAACGTTGTCTTTAGGGTTGTCCTGACTACTGTATGGTACAGCAGACTTAACACTACAGCATCAATGTGTGAACAGACACAGGTTCCTGTGGTGAGGATACAGTGCAGGAAAGATCCCCTCTGTTTCCTGGACCTGTCTGAGTGGAAACACGTTTCTTCAGGGGTGAAATGGAGAGTTTCTGGCTGTAGACAACAGTGCAACATCTTTAAACAGTAGGTTCCTCTGAGAAACATCACTGTGTCTCTGTGTTTCTCCGCAGAGGCAGTTGAAGGACAGACAGACAGAATCTCAGTGGAATCTTGCAAGCAGAGAGAAGGAGCTGCAGGAGCTGAGACAGGCTGTGAAGTCACTCAGAGTGGGTATTGACCAGAGGAGTGAACACACTGACGCACATTCCCACAGCTGGACGCTGGACACACCAGTACCCTGAGGAAACACCACACACAGTAGAATGTAATTTGAGTGTTGTCCTGTGTGATAATCCACTGTGTGTCTCCTCACTCAGAGCTCTGCACAGACTGCAGTACAGGACACTGACAGGATCTTCACTGAGCTGATCCGCTCCATTGAGAGAACACGCTCTGAGCTCACACAGCTGATCAGAGCTCAAGAGAGGGCTGCAGTGAGTCAGGCTGAAGGACTCCTGGAGCGACTGGAGCAGGAGATCGCTGAGCTGAGGAGGAGAGACGCTGAGCTGAGCCAGCTCTCACACACAGAGGATCACATCCATTTCCTCCAGGTAACAGCACTGCTCTGGGACTCTCTGCAGTCCAGAAGGGAGTCTCTCACACAGAGCTCTCCAATGGAGCTGCTCCTGGCTTCTCCCCAGGAATGTGTGCTGGAGCCCAGTGTGTTTGACTGGAAACTCCTCTCTCTCCTCCCTGTTACAGAAGTTCCAGTCTCTTTGTGTCCCAGCTGGAGCTGGAGACTCAACCAGGGTCTCCTTTAAGAAACTGTCCTTTGAGGTCACAGTGAAAGCTGTCTCTGGACTGAAAACACGACTGGAGAGAGTCTGCAAGGAGGAATTAGTCAAGATCTCCAGAACCAGTTAGTAGAGAAACACACCATGAAGCTCTTCTTGAAAGCTGCTAATTTCGCTGTGTTATGGGCTGTGTCTTTATTTTATATTGATTTCCTTTATCCTCATGGATAGTCCTGTGTTCCCAGATTGGTTGCACTCAGATAGAGTAAAATATAGAGAGACATTATATATATAGCTATTAAATCTAGTTATTATAAAATAGATTATATTTTATAACCTTTTATCCAGTGCAGTCGTGGGAGAGCCAGAGTCTATCCCAGCAAGCAGCGAGCACAAGGCAGAATGCATCATGGACAGGGCGCCAGGTAGACACACAGACACACACGCAGACCAGGGCCCGTTTTCACACAAACCAATCAACTCACATGCCTTTGGACTGCGGGAGGAAACCGAGCACAAACGACGTACAAACTTCACACCGAGAGCACCCCAGGAACTGACCCAGGGTCCCAGTACTAGGAGGAGGTAAAGTCACCCAAAATACTTCCTAAACAACAGAGACCACAGATTTCATAGACAGGTACATTAGAACACTGGCCCTGGAGAACGAGCTGCCACACGATCCACCTGTCCAGCACCTGTGACTCACCTGAGTACAGATCACTCCTGGATCAGCTCCAGTCCTGTACCAGAGCACGTCCTCATCCTGTTCTGTCAGGGTTGTGCGCCTGCGTTCCAGCCAAAGGCATCCCTTACTAGAGTCGAGACAGACTAAATCGCTCTCGCCCATCTGCTCTCGTATAAGACTCCTGATGGCACCCAGAGGCTGGGTGAGTTTCACCCACTCCCAGGACTCGGGACCAGTCCTCCTGATTTGGCAGCACTAAGTGGCCATCTTGGCTCAAGGACACTCCATGGACTTGAGCCAAGATGGAGGTTCCCCCATGGAGGGACCTCTCACTACATCTTACAGGTTGTTCCTGTATGAAGAACTTCTTAATCAGAATAAATCCTAAAATCATGCAGAGATAGGTTCTGCACTTCATGATTGGTATCTCAGAACTAACTTCCCTTAGTAGGTATGGAAAATGCTTCCCAGTCTCACTGATGAGAACGCACCTCCAGATAAGTCTGCCTAGTGCTACGTCTGTCCTAGGTTCATGCAGAAAATGAAATGCTGTTCCCCTGTCTCTCTCTAGGGACCGAGATCTGCTGCGTACAGGAGCCCCAGCCCAGGACCAGAGCCCAGTTTCTGAGATGTAAGTGTTTTTGTACACGGAAAGACACAGTATTTACTAGAACAACGCAGCTTTGAGGTGTTGTCAGGTTGACCTTATTTAGTTTATTTGTAATGAAAGTGAATGAACATGTTATGTTCCTCGTACTGTCATTTTTGTGCCAGGAGAGACAAGATGAGATGGATTCAATAGTACGAATCTTTGAATAAACCGAGAGCAGTATTGCCCAGTGTTCCTAAGTTTACTTGACCTGTTTTGAGTCGAGTAGCTCAACATGACTGAACACGATGTGTCACTAAGTTTGTGCAGGGACAGATGAGGTGACATATAATTTCATCAAACAGCGAGCAGAGAATGAAAATGTCTTTAAAAAAAATGTTCTGCCGACCTGAAATAGCAGCATCAACAACAAACAGCATTGTGACCCTGAGCCGGGTCCCATCCCCCTGTTGATAACGGTGCCCCTCGAGTCCTCGTGTACTTGAAGTCACACTGGTGCTACGTCACAGAAGTGCGGACTTGGAGGAAGGGCTTAGTGCTCAGTGCAAGAACTGGGACACGGCCCTACTTTTTTCTGGACTGCGAGGGTGGGACTCTAGTGGAGATCTGCTCAGGGATTGGTCTGCTCTGCCTGTCTGTCCTCTGACTGTCCTCTTCTCTCCAATCAGAAACCCCAGTGTGTATCTTACTGGGCTGTGGGGGCGGGACTCTAGTGGAGCTCTGCTCAGGGATTGGTCTGCTCTGCCTGTCTGTCCTCTGACTGTCCTCTTCTCTCCAATCAGATGCCTGTCAGCTCACACTGGACCCCAACACAGTGCACAGACACCTGCGTCTGTCTGAGGGGAACAGGAGGGTGACATTAGACTTTCAGAACTCATCATACCCAGACCACCCTGAGAGGTTTTACTCAGACACCCAAGTGCTGTGTAAACAGAGTCTGTCTGCACCCCGTTCTTACTGGGAGGTGGAGGGTTCTTGTAGTGTGTTCAAAATAGGAGTGATGTATAAGAGAAAAAGAAATGAAAAGGAATGTGAGTTAGGAAATAATGACAGATCCTGGTGCTTATATCGTTATGTTGATCATTACACAGTTTGTCACAATGGCAAAGCGACTGATGTTGGTAACAACTTCTCCTCCAGGATAGGGGTGTATGTGGACCACAGGGCTGGACTTCTGTCTTTTTACAGCGTCTCTGGAGACACAGTGAGCCCCATCTATAGTCTCCGCGCCACGTTCACTGAGTCTCTCTACCCAGCGTTCTGGATCTGTGTTTGTTGTACTGATGACTACGTGACTCTGTGCCACCTGCCATAACCCTCCGCTTTGTGAAACTATCGAGAATAGTTTGAGGGTGATCGGAAACCAAAGGTGACGTACAGCACCACCCCTGGAGCACACAAGCCGAATCTCAGACCAACCCGTACCGTTTCCACAGGGGCGTGGGCTGTGCATGAGGACACACCGGCCTCCTCATTTCTCCCTGGATCTCAGTCCTGATCCCGGGATGTTGATGTGGGATGTTTTTAATGACCTGTTCTATCTTAAACAATAATAAACAACAAAATATGTTATAATGTGATGTAATGTGTTCCTGTCACTGTAGAGTCCGTTTCCTAAACAAAAAAATAAAACCAAACATAACAGAGCAGCATATTTTTAAAATTATTTTATAGATTTAGACATTTTTAGTTTTTTTTTTACTCTTCTTTTTAATATACATGTAATGCAAATTGTGTGAATTCGTTTGAATGTATTCACATTGGCGCAGACCACTGGTGAGGGGTAAAAGCGCTTATTTCTTGCATCTCACTGTTAAACTTTAGTTTGCTCACATCCAGCCTTGCTGCGCTGCCGGAAAAAAACAACAACAACAACAACAACAACAACAGCATGTTCTGCAGGGTTAACTCGTGTCAGCCCGGGAAGATCATACAATAAACGTCCCTTTTTAAAAGAGTTGGCGCTTTCCTGTTTTTATTATGCAAGCGTACGTGCAGCTCAGCGTTTCCTGCAACCTGAAATCGGCAGGCACGGACCCCACATGCCAGGTTCTCCAGGTGCACTCTTGCCCTCCAGGTGCGGGATGCTCCGAATCCCCTCGGCTCGTGTTCTGACGCTCCGCCTGATAAAGAGCCGCGGTTTACCGGCACATCGGTGTGTCCAGCCGAGCCGGCACAGCGCCTCCGAACCCCGGGAGCTGTAGGCTGAAGGCTGACTTCTCTCTCCAACACACGGTTTCAGGGTATCAGCTCGCCGTGTTGTCTTATAAGGTCACGGGGGGGGGGGTGTTTTTCTGACCACAGGCGGCGTGTCTGTATACCGCGAATCAAAGGTATTTCAGCGGGGTGTCACGCCGAGTTCGTGCACGGAAAGACTCCGTCACGGTTCCACGCACAGTGTCAGTTGCTGTCACAGTTACAGACAATCCCGTGCGAGTCGACTGAGCGCACCCAGTCCAGCCCAGCCCGCAGGAAACCAACAGAACCTCCCTCGCCCGCTCCCCCCCCCCAGCTTGCATGATTCATTTCCTTTATTTGCCAGCAGCACTCACAGGCCGTCAGGAGGAAAAATAAAAGCGCGCACGTTTGTGATGTCATCGGAACGGGACGGCCCTTAAAGGGGCCGCGCACGTCCCCGCCAGTCGGCAGGGGGAGGTGACTCACTGTATCTTAAACGGGCAACAGTAGGCAGAAACGTCAAGCGCAAAAGCACATCCTAAGTGTAGAAACTCCTCCAAGCAACAGCCCCTCATAAAAAAAAAAACGCTGCTTAGTGCGCGGCCCTGATTTGGACCAGCCAGAAGACCAGACGATCAGTTCAGACCAGCCGCTCTGGATGACTTGATACTGACGAATCAGAAAGGAGAATTGTTTCTTATGAGGAAGATATTGGGTTAAATGGGGGGAGGAGAAGGACCGAGAGTTTCAGCAGTCAATAAAAAGAAAATATCCACTTTGGGGATTCCTCTCTGTCTGAACCAGACTGACCCCACCAGTGACCAGCACACTGCCCACACTCCACTGGTCACAGTGTGTGTCTGTTAGGACAGAGGGCTTCTGCAGGTCTCTCCCGCCCTCAGCCAGCACAGTAGCAATCCTGAGGCCTCTCCTGCCTGAGGAACAACCCAGACGCTGTGGAGATGTTCATACACCCAGCTGGACTCACACAGAACCACCCATGGAAATGAGTTTCTGTGCATCACAGGGGTCAGAAAACCATGGCGATGTGTTCTCTACAAGGTACCAGACTCAGCACAGGCCTCCAGCAAGAAGCGCCAGGCCTCTGTATTTTTAATTCTGTCCTTGTCCGAACACGTTCGCACACGGGGACAGACTCTGACGCTCCTGGCTCTGGACTAAATGCAGGAGGCTCTTATCTGAAAACTGGTTTTGCGTGCAGAGTTTTGCCTTCTTACAGAATGTGGATGTTCTTGAATTGCAGGAGTATCTGAAACTCGCCAGACGTCCTGTGCAGAAAGAGTTAAATTCCAAGAGTGTCACCTGTCGATCCTGTTAGTCCGCCGTCCCTCTTTTCCTCCTTGTCAGACCTCTTGCGTTCCCAGCAGTCTGAGGCGTCTCACACACAGGAGGTTTGTTTCTCTTCCAGCAGGTTCTGTTCCGCCTTCACCCGAGGAATACAATGGCCTCTAGTCTGTGGACAGAGGACCGGTTCAGCTGTCCGATCTGTCTGGACATCCTGAAGGATCCAGCAGCTCTTCCCTGTGGACACAGTTACTGTATGGGCTGTATTAAGAGTCACTGGGATCAGGACGATCGGACTGGAGTCTACAGCTGCCCCCAGTGCAGAGAGACCTTCACCCCAAGGCCTGCTCTGTGCAGAAACATCATCCTGGCTGAAGTGGTGGAGAAACTGAAGGAGACAGGGCTCAGTGGTCCTCCTGCTCCCAGTCCTGCTGGCCCTGGAGATGTGCTGTGTGA